CTTCACGGACGCTAGCTGGGCAGCGAAGCCTCAGGTGTCAGTAGGCAGGGAGCCTGCCTCCCCGTGTTTCTGGAAGGACGGCACCACCTTCCCTGCAGAGAGTGGGAAACCGACACTGATTTGTCCCCCAGCTCAGGGCCACCCCCCACCTCAGGAAGCCTGTTCTCTGCGCACTTCCCAGGCTAAGTCACGGTCAAGAACTGACTACGGCCTCTGGTTTCCAGCCTTCATTACCGCCCACGGGCCTTCCCTTCTTCCCCTGGGGACTCTGGGCGTGTGTCTGTCCCCCGTGCCTCTCGGTCCCTGGGGACCTCGCCCCTTGTGGATGTGCCTGCGGCTCCTGGTGCCGCCTTGTGAGGTCACCAAATCGGCCTGGGTCCCACAACCAGCAAATCTCTGGCTCCTGTACCCCCAGTAGTTCTGGAGTTTCGTCTGACTCCCCCAGAGTCCTTATGTTCCTGGGAACATGGCACGGGTCGGAGGTGAAAATCAGGCAGAGGGCATGAGAAGACCAACAACGCCATCAGGCCCCGCAGCCTTCAGAGATGCTCCCTCCTGGTGCCGCCCCCTCAGACACCACAACACGCACCCTCTGGGCAAGGTCTTCCCCACCTGTCGCGCTGCCACCAATGCTAGGGGGACCGTTTAGGGACCTATGAAATCCAGTCACGGCGGGGGGTGCTGAGGGCCCTCAAGCAAATGGGATGCACCTGGTGGGGCCAGACAAGCCCGTGTCTGCAGTGGGGACGTAAGGATGTAAGCAGGTCCTCACCCCCAGGACCTAACTGTCCCTCCCCCACCGCCAGAACAAACCCAGTGCCGTGACCAGGTCCGTAACCCGCCCCACTCCATCTCCCAGAGGAAGGACGAGCGCGAGAGTTTTGGCAAAACGATTTTATTGTTTAAAAAATAAGTGTCACGTCTGACATACAAAAAGTCATTTTAAAAACTCGGTTCTGAATGCGTCTCACGGTCTGAGACATCTTTAAGTAGCCACTATTTCCATAAAAACCAGGGGCAGTTTCTCTTTGCACAAAAAGGCAGGGCACATTCCTGCTGCTTGGCGGAGAGGAGCCTTCATGCCCGCAGTCTCCCCACCGCACGCGGGACGCAGTCCCTCTGGGAACAGAGCCCCCCGCGGCACAGAAGCCCAGGACCCAGTGTCCCGGTGTGGGACAGAGAGCGCCCGGACACGGCCCAGACTGCATCACGCCCTGGTTCCCGCGCCGGCCCCACACCCCCTCCAGGTCTCTCGCTGGCACCGGACCCACTCGGCCTTCCCGGCTGGAAGCACGCGGCCCTGCACTCCGGGGTAGCGACCGCTCTCGGGCCCAGCGGAGGCCCTGCCGGCTGCGCTCAGCCCTGTTCTTCCAAGAGGAAGGGCCCGGGAGGGTCAGGCGGTCAGGGCACACCTCATGGCGGGTGCCCTTGGGGCCCTCGATCAGCGCTAACCCAGGGTCCTGGCCTCTCCCAGTTACGAATCTCATGACGTTTTACGACTGACCTTTCTAGGCTTACGTAGCGGTACAGCTAAAGACCCAAACTGGGCAAATTTGGGCCGTGTCTGTTTACACTTCCGCTTTCAAAGCTAACATTCAAATATGCTCCCCTGGGCTCTCGGCCAAAGAAAATGCGTTTCCTTGGCCCTGCACCAGAGGGGCAGACAAGGTGCAGAGGCTTCCTTTCGAACACCTGAGAGCAGCACGAGAGGTCCGCACAAAGACCGGCCTTGGGAATCAACAAGTAAGCAGAAGCACAATTAATCTAGACCTCCTCCGCCCCGTCCAGCCTTCCAGGCAGATACAGAGGCGCGGATGCGTCCCGGGAGGGGGCGGGGGATCTGCTTTGCCAACAGATGCGCCCCCGGAAGCCGGCTGGAGAGGAAGTTTCCCCCAAAGGGATCGTTCTCCCCAGCTTGCTAGGATTTCGGAAATGCCTCCTCAAATCTCTCGCTGCCCCTGTCCCGTGCTGGTGACAGCATTACTGAGCTTGCACCTTGCGTAGCAACGGGCCTGGGGCCTCAGGTGCCGTGCTCACCCCCCACCTCGGGCTGCCGGTGCGGGAGGTGGGAGCGCAGGCCCCGGAGAGGACCTCGGCCACGGCCACGGCAGGTCCTCGGGAACACAAGCTGCTCCCAGGTTCCTGCTCCCCAGGGGAGGGAAGGCAGCTCTAAACGGGGGCGGCACCCTGCTCTAGCTGACCGGGCGCCAAGAGGCGGGGGATCCAAGACCACGCGGCGCCCACCTCGAGCCCCAGGCCGGCAGCACGAGGCGGACGCCGGACCGCGGGGACTGTGGCTTGGGTGACCCACCGGTTGGCAGAGGGAAGACAGCAGGCAGGGCCCTGACCCTCTTCCTCCAGGAGGGGCCACCTGGAGGGTGGCCAGGGGGGCACGGGAGGGGGACAGGCAGCAGAGGCTACAGGTAAGCATGCGGCCGGCCGGCGGCCGGCCTGGGGACACTGGGAGGCGGCCGCCCTCTTAAGGCCCTGGCCCCTCCAGCCTTTGTGTTTCAAAGGGTGAGCGCGTGCGGATGGCGCTAGCCTGCCACCCAGGGTGCCACCGGCCTCTCCTGTGCCTTGCTCCTTCCCGAAAATGCTGCCAGGTAGCGCTCCTTCCGGAACACGCTGCCAGGCAGCTTCTCTCAAGTGGACTGAGTTCTGCAGGGTCCCGGGTGCTGAAGACAAAATCGAACTGGATAAAACTGATGCCGAGTCTGCTTATGTGAGGCTGCATATGTTTTTATGGGAACAAACTGTTCCGGAAAACTGAATTGCACGCAACACCCCGCCCTGCCACACACACACACACACACACACACACACACAC